TTTTATCGACTGTAAAACTTTCTCTCTTGTTCTTTTTAAGATATGACTCGAGCACAAAATAATCAATCTCATGCCTTAAAACCTAACGATTTCTCTCTTTATTAGATTTCTCATGAAAGCAATCAAGCAAGAAAAATTTTCATCGATGAAATTTAACCTTAGAGAAACTTTTAATGCATGAGCAACTGCAGCATCTCATAACCTCATACAAAGTAACGTAAATGTTTTAATGAAAATTTTCATAGAAATTTCCCTAATTAGTGCTTTGTGTTGAATACAGATTGCAAAATTAATATCGTACTATTGTCAAACTTTATCTTCTCTTATAAAATTTTCAATTCATTAAAGAATGGAGAAAATTACGAAAATTTTTTTTTTGCTGATCTAGCACCTTCAAGCGTCATCAAGACTGAACTTTTTCTTTTAATACTATCAGCAACAATACTGACGGTGTGGTGCTCACCATATTAAAGAGCATAAATGGGAGGATGTTATGAGTACAAGCAAATTTTTGAGTTGAGAATTTAAAGCGCATTATTTATTAGGTTTCCCAGTGTGATGTTGGAGGAGATTGAAATTTGAGGAATTAAGTCATATTTAAGAGAATCTGTCAGTGAGAGAATGAAGCCTCTATGGCCAATTGGATAGGAAACAAACTGGATATCTGTATCTTTTGACATTGAACGTGTGTTCGATTTCTATCAGGAACTGATTTCTATATCTGTTACATAATATGTTGTTAAAATGACAAGCATTCACACAGTTCTCACGACATAACATCTAGGTATCGGAACTAGGAGCCGGTCACTAGCACCAGTCGAGGATCGCTCCTCTTAACTCAGTATTGATATATTCATATCTCAAATAATTTGAAAATTGCTTCTGATTTAAGAATATGTCACCTCAGTTGGTCTTAGAGACTCATCAGCCTTAGACAGCATTTGGGAATAAAGCCTGCTAGTAACAATATGCCGCAAAAGGTCCTTTGAGGAAACAAATGTAAACTCATCCTTCTAATAGACAAAACTCTCCTTCCTTCCTCGCCTCATTTTTCATAAAACTATGCACACGAGCACTGGAAAAAAATCTTCTAAGTAAGCAATTTTCTTGTTGATAGTAAATGAGCTCTTTATGTAATTAGTAAAAAGAAAGTAACTAGCTTCCCATGAAATGCAATGCTACAAATATTCTACAACTACATACATTTTTTATACTCATTAACCGCAATGCATTTCTAGAATGTGAAATGAAAATGGAAAAGTTGTGACTTCTTACTTTCTAATTTGTGCAAATTGAGTTTGGGAAGTTTCCTTTATAGCGTGGCTTTTAAGGAAATGTGAAAATATTTTAGAAAAAAAAAGCTTTGAAAAGTTTTTTGTGTGTCAAAATTGGATTAAATTAATTAATTGAAATAGCATCAAATTAACAAAATAAACTTTTGTGGACTATCCGAAGGCTTGATTTTCATCTTTTAAATGAATAATGTCATGAAAACTTCATAAAAAAAAGTCAACTTTGTTGAGAGAAAATTGCGCCTCAATTCCATTCTAAGGCACTATTATCTTTTTAATTCAACTTCCTCTCATTTCTAAAATGAGCATTCCATTTCCATTTCGATAACTAAGATAATTACGGGGTTGAATAGTAATTTTTCTGCTTATGTTTGTGAAATCTCTTAATTCCATTTTATCCATTCTTTTCCTCATCTTCTCCTTCTTTTGCTCTTTAAACTTTCTGACATTTTCTTACAAGATTTATTTTTATTGAAACTGAAATTGCAGTTGCTATGGTGGCAAGTTAAAATCCTCATTCATGCTATGAACATGCAATGGGTGAGAATAAATAGAAGGAAGTATCGTCATATGTCGACTTTCTGAAGAAGAAAAATGAGATGAAAAGTTTTTCTTGATTGCTATAAACTTAAGATGGAGAAAATTGGTCATGCAGATGGAAGTGAGATAGAAGTTGAATTGAAATATGTTTGGAGATTTAAGGATCCAATTCTTTAGAAGGAAGTATATCTTGCATAGCTATGATGATAATTTATTGATTGTGTCAAATTTTGTATCCTCTTTCAAGTATTTTATAGCCAAGGGGCAGAATTGTAACATACATGAGCATCTATGTCCCTCAAAAACTGAAAATAATTAATATGACAGAATTTAATATTAAGAAAATATTTCATCCCTTGAATGTCATGAAAATTCTTGTTTATCAGTATTTGAACATGCTCATAATCTCTTTGACCCCTGAAAATTCCTGAGCATAAATAATGACTATCCATAAACTTAACATCTCATTCAGAAAATGTAAATAAATTGAATCAATTCATGCAGAAGAAATTTTGTAACCCTTACATTCTTATGTGTTGTCACATAGATAGTTGGAAGTTAAGCTCGGGTCAAGTTAAATGGAATGGATTGTGCAGAAAAGCGATAAATTTTCTAATAAAGATAAAATTTTACACTTAACTTCTTTATCTATTTATAAATGTCATTTAACTTGTAATTGCTATTATAGTTTTTGGAATTAAGGAAAAATAATCTGCAAAATATTTTTTTAAAATTAAATTCTAGATCTGTATTTTAAAAGCTTTTTGTATTCACACTAAAATCATTCTTGAGAAGATCTACAAAATTTTCGTTTTGAAATGCTTGAAATGCTTTCATCGTCGGATGTATACGAATTTTAATTAATGCGCCTATCAAACAACAAATCTGTCAAAATTATGAAATTGAAGTTTATTTCTTTATTCAATTTTTTGTCTGATAAGATTAAAATCAAGGCTCCCGCAGATTATAATTTTTAAATAATCCCATACAAATATTATAATCTTCAATAATTTTTGTATGAAAGATTATTAAGGATTATAATCTTTTTGTTTTTGAAGATTATAAGTTTCGTTTTTAAAAGATTAAAATCTGCGGGAGCCTTGATTAAAACAATTTAAGTACAAAAAAATAATATAAAAACATAAATGTTAACTCATATTGCTTTAAATTAAGTCAATCAAATACTAAATGACCTATTTATGATGAATTTAGAAAACTTTTTTAATGAAAACTAAAACCTAGTAAAAATATTTCAATTTCAATTTTAAAAAGGAAAATAAAAGTTATTTTCATTAATACTAACTCTGTCTATCCCTTTTCAAAACTCTCGATACTTTTTTTTTTGCCTTTAAAATCTCTTTTTATTTCATACAAAATTCAAACCATTTAATTACATTTTGAAAATTTAATAAACCTTTATGAGAAATGAATTTATTTGAGAATATGTTGATTGTGGTAGTGATGGTATATTTAAGGTTTTATTTGTGGCAATAACACTTTATTCTGTAAAGTTGTTTAGGAAAACTTTAATAATGTGATGGGGGAATAGTTACGGTAAGATATTATACATAAAAAGGAATGTGGTGATTTCTTAGACATTCTTTCTTTACATGCACGATACAATTTATTCACAGTTCCTTACAAAAAATATTCTTTTCATCACAAAATAAGAGGAAAACTTTTTTTTTACGAAAAAAAGGAAGGAAAAAAGTTTCGGGAAAGTCGAAGTAAAAATTGCAGCAATAGAAAAAGCAGAAGGTAAGTAGAAAAGCTGATAGGAAAGAATTGTAAATGTTTGAACAGCGCATTGAGATGTGCAAATATTGGAATTAAACATGATGTATATTCAAATGGGGCTTTAGAAGTTGATGATGAAGCCAGATGAATTTTTCTGTATTGTATGGTTTTCTAAAGTTATGAGAAATAGTTCACGTTTGTTGAGCTTAAAGAGATTTTTGTGATTTGCTTAATGGAATATTGATATTTGTAAATCATAAAAGATTGTGTCATGTCTCTGCATATTTGATCATCAAGATGAAATGTTTAATCATTTATTGAAGAATTATGTAATATTATTTTGTAGGATTCGGGTCAGCAATGCTCGTTCATTTTTTTGCGGCAGGGGGTAAAATTTCGTAACAAAGAAATTCATTCTTATACAAAATTATGGACCACCCACTGCTCTTAACCGTTTTATTCAAAAATCAGTTCCTTAAAACTTTAAAAAATTCTTAAAACGATTTTGAAAATTTTCTTAAAAAGTTTTATCAATTTTTTTAACCCTTTTTATTCTTACACGAAGCTACAACCCCAACGATCTATGGTTCGATATAAAGTGAAATGAATGAATTAGTGTGAGAAGGGATTACAACCGAATGAATAAGAGAGAAGGAACATAACCGCATAATATAATCTCTTACAACAATCTTCATAAACTATTCAAATGCTTTTGTAGTTAATGTTCATTCAACAAAAATCTAGCACAATATTCACTTAACTTTATAGCACCACTATCATCATCATCTATTCATTCGTCTCTTATTTGCTCCTTGAATTCCGATTTTATATGGCATGCTGTTAGTTTTTATTATTGTACTATAAATATTCATTAATCTTTCTCTACTTATCATTTTGCTGTATATTCTCCTCTCAGTTTACTTTATGTGTGTCTTACTAGATTGTTTTCGGTTTCTCTATGTATGTGGATTACTAATCTTATCATTACATACCATAATAATATGGTCATGTGTTTGAGAATGTTTTACAAACTCAATAGTTAATTTTATACACTTATAATTAAACAGTTGTTACTTTCTGCAGAGTAGGTGGTTGATATCTTGTGGTTATGGAAATGATGTAATTTATTATAATAATGAGCCTCAACCGTGCTGATTTTCATAAAAAAAATTTTATTTTTTGACTCAATTTCCAACCCTGACTATTTATATAAAATTTACAAAATATTCTTTCTTTCTTCTCCCACTTCTAGAGTTCCCTCGAATACTTTAATGAGCCACATTATCACATTATTATCATACTACCAATATATTCACTTAATTGCTGGTTATACACACAAGAGGATATACTGTATAACCGGCACAACCATAATAATGATAACTGCAATTTAGAACAAGTATTTTTTCAATGTTTAAGTAAATTGACTAGAAGATGGAAAAACTTTTACTTGTAAGCATGATGCATTGTACAGTATCATCAATCAAGTCAATCAATCACACTCAAGTGCCAAAATACTTGACGTTCGATGTATGTAAGTACTTACGTACTTTAAGTTTAAAATGTTTGCATGTGTGTATGAATGCGCTTGTGATTTAGTGGTAAGACTTTTTACTATAATTATTTTACTGAAGCGCATTTTAGAAATTTTAAACTATATAAGAATTTTAAATTATTTTGCGTAGATGCATAAATCAAGGGGGGGGAGTTAACTTGAGAGGTGAATAACGACTTAATAATCTATCAAATAAATACGCAAACGTTTTAAAATACTTGACAGAGAGGACAAAGAGTTCATTAATACACATGCATTGAAAAATTCAATGTCCAAATAATCCGTAACTACACACATCAATACAATACAATCAACTCATTAAAGTGCGAAGCGCCAATCAATTAAAACTATATGCTTGTGTAATATTTTTTTCTTCTTTCTACAAAATTTAAGCACGCGATCGCTTACTTTTTAGTATTGCTCACTTTAGTCACTCGTAGCATTTCGCAAAATAAATATGCGTCAATTTTTGAACGCGTCGATTGTCTTATTTATTGTAATTTCTCTTTCATACACAGTGCATCAAGTACATTGTAAAAAGTCTGAAAATCGGCTGAGTGATGCTATCATACCGAAAGTTTACGATCTTTACATTCGAGTGGATATAAATTCACAGGTTTTTAACGGAAATGTGATAATAGATGTTCGCGTTAATCATGCTGTTTCAGCTATTCAAATGCACAATATCGGATTAATAATTAGTGATAAAGTTTTTGTAAAAAATGTCACAGACAGTTCTATTATTTCGGAATCCATAAACATCACGTATAATAATGCAACTGAGATAATGAATATTGAATTAGATCAGATATTATTAGCTGATAGTGATTATAAAATTTTGCTATCATTTAATGGACCTATTGAATTTGACATGAAAGGATTATACATGAGCACATATTATGATGGTGGAATAAAGTAAGAATATTTTATGTTTTTGACAGGCTTGCAAATTAAAATTATTTAAATAACTGGGAAACTATAATTAGAAAATTATTTGATCGATTAAAATATTTAATTATTATACAAAAATTTATAATGTAATAACTAATCGGGAATTTCAGAGATATTTGATTAAAATGATTTATGAATTTATGAAGTTTTACCAAATTCAGGTAATTTGATATACATCATTAAATTGGAATAAAAGAATTGTGTTAATAACTGATGTCCATAAAAAATTGATTTTAAGCCTCCTTTTACATCTCAGTAACACACCCATCTCTTCTCAAAACATAGATATAATTTCAGAATGACAATTTCGAATCTTAAAATTTTATATTCCATAACATTTTTCAAAGACAAGAAATGTTGAAATTTCTATTTTAAAATAAAATTGACCTTGAAAATTGTTTAGAAATATTCCTCAATTCTTTGTTTATTTTCATTCATTCGAATATTATTTTCATCACAAATTTATAAATCGATAAATTCTTCATATCACATAACATGCCTTTATTTTAAAATATACAGGTAGCATGCAAGCAATATCTTCATTTTTAGAATCAAAAGACTTCATTAAAATAATAAATCTTCTTAAATTTCACATCTTTCTGAGTAGCACTTTAAGATTTTATGGTATTTTATTAGGTCTTTGAAACTATCAATTTAGTTCGTAAGTTACAAAAACTTCAAGTTTTAAATTAAAAATTTAAAAAAACTTAATTTGATAAAATAAGTTTTTTGACTGTAATATCTCACTAGACTTTCTGACTGTAGTACATTATGTTAAATGACGATAACCAAAAACTCCGTAAATAATGATTTTAATCCATAATGACGAATTTCAGAACAATGAAATAATCCTTTCTGATTCAATACAATATGATTTTTTTGTTAAAAGGCACTTTTATCGACTAATCCCTTTGAATCATCTATTACATTCTATTCTACTCACGAAAAGCTACAGCATCCCTTTCTAAAATAAATTATTATTATTTTTTTTTTCTTCTTTCATAAACCACAAAAGATATATAGCTACAACCTTTTCTGCGGCAGCATACGCTCGAAAAATCTTTCCATGCTTCGATGAGCCGAACTTTAAGGCAAAATTCCGATTAAAGGTTGCGTGTCCAAAGGATTTTTTCGCACTAGCAAATACACAGGTTATCAACACAGAGCTCATGCATGAGTATGATGAAAGTTCCGTGTAATTTTTGCTTTTAATTTAATTTCCATTCATTCCCTTTAATTATCAACAGTTGGAGGATAACGGAATTTGAGGAAACAATACCGATGTCGACGTACCTTTTGGCCTTTACAGTATCTAATTTTAAAAACCTCACCAATTTGGGTAATCCGCAATTTTCTGTCTATGCAAGTTCAAAAGAATATAAAAATATGGAATTTGCATTAAATATTAGTCGTAGTGCATTGAAGGCATTGGAGGAATACACGATACATTCATATCCACTAAATAAAATGGATTTTATTGCTATAGACGATTTTCTCTATGGTGCTATGGTAAGCGATTGATTGACATTTATTGAATGAATGTGCTTGTGGACATTCCGAAATGTCCATTGTGAGAAAATAATGGAAGCTGAACGAGAAAAAAATATTTTCATTGTGAATTATTTTTTTTTGTTGGTTTTATTCTTTTATTTCTTCTTCATTTTTATTTATTGTAGGAGAATTGGGGACTTATCAGCTTCAAGTAAGTTCAATATTTTTTTTTTGGTGAATTAAATTTTTTTGAGCAGAAATTTTTTCTATTGTGTTATTGTTCCTTTATGAAATTGTAATAGAAAATGAAAATCTTTGAATATAATGACTTGATAAATTTGTCAAGTGAAGCATTCAAGATTGATGAGTTTCGGGGCTGCTATAAGAGCAATAGTCCATTGTCAACTGAACTGGGGTTTTCTTAATCATGTCGATGTCGATTTTTTTTTTTTTTTTGCTTGAGCTGTCGTTCTCATTTTTATTGAAGGAAATACAGCTTTACAATGATGAATCAAGATAAAAGTTTGTAGAAAAAAATTTCAGCGCATTCTGTTAAGTTCGAGCTGAACACATAAAATTAAAGCAGCACCAGCTTCCCCTAATACTCTATTCATACGTGTATTCAAACCCAGTCACAAAATTCAGCCGTAGAACCTATCTTAGCATATCATACACGAAAACTTGATTGCTTTAGCAGTGCTGTGCAAACTTTTTGAGCCGTGGCACACCTTAGTGGTAACCCATGACCGAGGTCGCACCAAGCATGCAGCTCGTGTCAGTTTCAAATAAATATTGCGGTACACTAGTGTGCCACGGCACACAGTTTGAACAACACTTCTCTAGACTTTAGATCAGTGTTGTCCAAACTTTTTCCAGCCAAGGCATGCTTTGACTTTAGATATTTTTCCACGGCACATCTAAGGATGTCCTAAGGTATACTAGTGTGCCACGGCTTTAGATCAAAGGGGCCGTTCACTTATTACGTTACGCAAAAAAACGTCACCCCCCCCCCCCTCCCCCTTGTTCCAAAATGTTACAACTCACAACCCCCTCCCCCCCCCCCCCCCTGAACGTGGAAAATTTAAAAAAATGTTTTTGGTGTGAATTTGTAAACAAATTTTTTTCGTGAACTTTTTTTAAAAGACAGACGACAGTTAGAACGTTACATACTTCTTGACACCCCCCCCCCCCCCCCCTATGTTACATTTTGTTACAATTTTTCAAACCCCCCCTCCTCCCTAAAATGCGAAAGTAATAAGTGAACGGCCCCAAAGTAAAATCAATGATTTAAATACAGAAATTTCCAGATTTTCAACTTTGATGTTTCCAAAAGACTCATTAATTGTTATTTGCACTTCAAAACAGTCTTGATAATTACTATCAAAAAGTCTTATTGCTCATTTATTCACTGATAACAAACAAAAATAATATTCGATTCTGTTGGCGAAAACAGATGATAATAAACACAAAAAGTACAATTTACAGAAGATAAAACTTTACTTCATTATAAACTTCCAAATGCTTTAACCTGATATTCTACTTTTTTAAAAAAAAACATAAAAATAAATTAAGCGGATTAAAAAAATTGCAAAAAGTTATGACATTTTAAGTGGATTATACAACTTCATAGTTGGAGAATGTATCGTGTGCTTGTGTGTTTTTCAAAATATTTATCATTACACTCTCTTCAAATAATTTAGAACTTCTCGGATAGTGAATCCTGCTGGTAAGAGAAATCGCAAGAAGATGCAGGATATTATTAGCATAATTTCACATGAGGTGAATGAAAAATTTAAATATTTTGTATAAAAACAACTTTATAATAAAATATCTAATAAATTCTAGCTTGTACATCAATGGTTTGGTATGTATGTGTTTTATTTGCATTATGAAGGGGTGCATTGGCCACAAAGTTGGCTAAATTGAGGTTATAACACAAGTACTATGTTTCGGTGCATCCATAATGTTCTAATGCTTTAAAAATAGAAAATATGTATCGTTTAAAAGTTTAAACTATTTCATCTACAGGCAATTTAGTAACATGTGAATATTGGGATTATGTATGGCTGAATGAAGGCTTCGCATCTTATCTTGAGTACATTGTGGCTGATATGGTTTGACAATTTTTGCTCTTCATATTATGACTCTTTTTAAAAATATTTAATGCTCTAGATTCTTCCTGAATGGCGAATTTTGGAACAGTTTACGACAGAGGATATGCATCCCGTCATGTTAAATGATGTGCGACCAAAAACTCATGCGATGACAAGAAATGTCAACACTCCCGAGGAAATAACAACAATTTATGATTTTGTTGCATATCCAAAGGCAGCATCTGTTATCAGAATGATGGAACAACTCATGACTCCGGAAATTTTCAAAATTATGATTTATCGATATTTATCTAATAGGTAAGAAGGTCAATCGATAAATGTTATGACGTTTTTAATGGTTTGCATGTTATTCATAATAGAAAGTACAACACAGCAACAGACGAAGATCTTTATGAAACTATTGATACATTTCAAGATCATTTTGTAATTTATAATCCAAATTTCCCGAAATTGTCAGACATTTTTCGATCATGGGCAAATAATGAAGGATTTCCAATTTTAAATGTTCAATACTTAAAAGGCACCGTCACGTCAACTGTACGAATCTCTCAGGAACTTTTCCTTCCAAAGTTGAATGAATCTGAAGATTCTAGCTTTATAATTCCATACAATTTTATTACGTCTGAAAGCGTTAAAGAAAATGATTGGAATCCGGCATTTAATGGTATTTGGAGATCACTTAATGGAACTGGAGATAATTTTACATCTAACACACAAGCTGATTGGATTATTTTTAATATTCAGCAGACGGGTGAGATAAAAGTTGATTTTATTTGAATTAACAAAGCTTTTAAATCTTTAAAAATTGTGGCGAGGTAAAAGGGGGGGGGGGGGGGGGGGGGGGGAGGTTTATATACAAACAAGTTCACTTCCCATATTTATTTTATGTACAACTCTGGATCACCAATAAGCTATAATCTGCTCTAAATATTTTATTTAATATTTTACTAAAACTTTTGAGTTATTAAAATAGTTTAGATTAATTTCAATTTAGGTCAATAAAAAAATTGATCTGGAAAATCACATAATCAACTAGACTACCGTAAAATCATAAATCATACTAACATTCATTCCCATACCACACATAAAACAAAATAAATTGCATGACAATGCAAATAAATTTTAACAAATTTTATCAATGCATTGTGCATAGCTTGTACATTTAAACCAACACATAGAAATAATCATAAAATTCAATTATTATTTATCATCTCGATTTCAGGCTATTATCGTGTAAATTATGATACCGATAATTGGAATGCAATAATTAATGTACTTGATAGCAGCACGTATCGTACAATTCATTTTCTAAATCGTGCACAATTGTTGGACGATAGTTTCAATTTAGCCAAATCCGGTTATTTGGACTTTACCATAAACCTTAATATATTGAAGTATTTGCGTCGAGAATATGAATTAGGACCAATAACAGCTGGTTTTAAAGCTATTCAATTTATGCTTTCTCATCTCGATGATCAGCCATTTTATGAGGATTTTAAGAACATTATGTTGAACATAATTGATGAGATTTATGAGAGAGTAAATTATCCATCACATCCTGAATATCCGACAACATTCTCCGAAAATCATCATGCGGTGTTGAAGCTCAAGGTTAATCTTTTTGCATGTCGCTTTCGGGCATCATTGTGTGTTCAGGATGCTGATAAAAAAATGAATTTTGATGATGTGCCGGATATTGATGATCGTCCGCACTTTTATTGCGGCATATTGAGCAGTAAATCATCGCAAAATCAGTGGAATAATTTGTGGAATCGACTCGGGGAAATCATTAAATCAACAGAGCTTTACCGTGATAATCAAGAGGAAATTAGTGAAATACTTTATGCCTTTTCGTATTGCGACAATGATGAAGGACGAATCAATAATCTTTTAATGAGCATGTTGAATACAACTCAGGAAGCTACTAGCAACAAAATCTCTAACGATGATGCTACGTTAGTAATTGGAAATTTAATAAGAGCAAGCAAAAAACATCGGGAGTTGGTAATGGACTTTTATGAAGACCATTATGAAGCTGTTAAAGAAACGTAAGTACTTGCTTATTTTTTAATTTGGAAAGTGTGACTTGGGAGGGATGATGTGTTCTTATGTCCAATTTGGACGATTCTGTCAATCTGTGTTAGAAAGTATTAAGGATTGCAACAAGATGTCTTAGTCTGGAACTTTTCTAATAGGCCATTAATAAACCATACAAAATAAATGCGCTTTATGCAATTCCACCCATTAAAAATCCAAAAACATCATTTTCATTCCTGTTTTACACAACATTACATCACCAATTCAATCTTTTTTTTTCACTAATAGAGTTCCACTTACTGCTGTATTGAGTGCATTTGCGGAAGCAATCAACACTGAAGACCATTCAGAACGTCTTAAGAAGCTTGCTGCTAACCATGCCATTAATGTTGGTAAAACGATAGAAGAAATTGAAAAAAATATCCATTGGATGTCGATGAAAGTATCAGAAATAGCCACATGGGTTAAAAATGAGAAAGGTGCAGCGATTAAATTGAACTTTTCCATTATGGCCATCATATTTTCTTTTTCAATAATAGCTTTGCAATAAATAAGATGTATTGAATAGACGGAAGGTAGAGGAAGAGAAAATGTTTAAAAAGAAATGAAATTTTTATTGCTTGCTGCTTGTCCTGTGTATGTGTGCTTAATGGAAAAGCATTTTACCTTTAAATTTTTTTTGAAATTCCATGAGATTAGCAGAATGTTTTAAGGAGAAAATATTTTATAGAATAATTTACAATTTTATTTAAGTGGATAGAACGTGTTTGGAATTTAAAGAGAAGGTTTTATTATTTATTTACTTAGGTTCTTGAATATTACTTCCAAATTCATCTTATTTTTCGTTCTCTGGTTGGAGAATATCTTTCACTACTTAAGCCATAATATCAACAATCCATAAGCTTTATATGCATCTTGTTTTAAGAAGGAAACACATGGGATGTTGAGTAGAGAAGTTTGATATTTATTGTATTGGAAACGCATTTGTCTATATTTATTATTCACTTGATCATCATCAGCAAGATGCAGATTCTTTATTAAATAATTTTTTAAATGGATGAATTTGAACCTTTAAGTAACTCCATTCAATATTAAAATGTGGTTATGCTCTCTTAAGAAGTTACTCATACGATTTGAAATAATTCAGTACAACAATCACTCAACAGGCTTAGCTTGAGTTTTTTTTATAAATCCCGTCCAATAATACAACAACCCTCTTTGTACTTGATTTTTACAACGTTCCTGAATCTGTGAGTCAAATTGATTAAGGTTGTAGTGTCTCGTAAATTTTATTAATAAAGCATCAATTTACTCATAATTCTGTAAATTCCACTTAATATCATGAAATGATACGGCATCTGACGTACAATATACTAATGCAGAAATGACATTTAATCTACAACACAACATCTAATGGATTCTGTCTTTTTGTATATAGTCATCATCTCAATTTTGCGAAATTTTCTATAACACTTTTTTTACCTTTTGAAGTCAGTCAAAAATATTAACATGACACAACAAAGATTACGTCAGTCAAAATGAGCGCAAACCCTACAACATCTCCAAAGATGCCATAAAAATGTGACAAAAAGGTTTGTAGATAAACACAAAAATTTTTTTACTCTACGTATAATAAAAATAAAAGAGAATATTTTACAAGATATGTGGATGAATGATAAAAAGGATAAGTGTTTTATATAAAGATGTGAAGGATATCTTATTTCAATGATGAAGATTATGATCATGATGATGATGATGTGAAAAACGTGTTGAAATTCGCTTCTTTCCTTCTCGATGAATAATGGATATAAAAATTTCTAACAACTCATACTGAAGGATCCTACACATACAAATATGAGTTTTCAGGATGTTTGTGCTTTTTGAGGATTTTACATTCACAAAAATCAAGCAATTTGTGAAATTTTATTTAAGATTCATACAATGAATATAATCATGGATATGAATAGAGTAAATCTTGACTATTCACAGAATAGTCACAATCAAAATTATTTAAAATTGTGTTGAATACAATAGAGCTTAACTATTTAGTTTTATGGGTGACTCTGTAGATTTTGGTTTGGGCTTCTTGTGCTTCAGTGAAAATTAATATGATTTTAAGACTTTTTTGACTGAAATGTAGATTCTTTTTGCAGGTTCTTAGTTGGTAAAACCTTCAAGGGTGGGAATCTAACCCCCTCCCCCGTTCCCTTGAATTTTCCATTCAGCCACTTCCTTAAATTCTTGGCTATGCCTCTGATATCTTTAGTATCATTTATAAGAACTCTTAGCACCTTTAAAACTACTAGTTCCAAAAAATTCATTCAAAATTTTCTCACAAAATCTTTTCTGACATTATTATCGCCCCTTAAAGTCCCATAATCATTACATTATGAAAAGATCCACATTGTAGTCATCATCATATTATCATTTCCCCCAAAAAAGTTTCCTTTTTATGCAAATTATTTTATACAAAGCAAATCCCGTACATAGAAACATAGAGTACAATAATGACACAAAAGTGAATACATGAACAAGAATCTAATTTGCAGAGAAGAAAAAAAAGAGAATTCATTTAATTACATTACACTAGACATGTTTGCTATCTTCCTATCTTGAATATTCTATAAATTTTTTTGCTTCTTTCATTCATATGAATATGGAACGAATGGAAAAGGAAAAGGAAAAAAAGGATGAACGTTTTATCCCCCACATGCATGCAATATCCTAATAGACATTTGAAATTTAAATAATAATCGACTATGGTTGAAAATTTGTATGCAATGAATGAATCTTCAGGTCGTAAAGTTCATCTCATGGGTTTGCAAACAGCTTAAAGAAATTGTCATTTGTAATTCCTTGTAAATGCACTTTTTGAAAGATGGCAGAGATTTTTAAAGTCAATTTTTGTGTGACTGGATAGGAACTTTATTAAATGTATTTTATGTTCATCCATGTTCATAAATTTCCTTTAACGAGTTTGAGTGATAAAACATGTTCCTGACATAAGAACTAATTTTCGGTTAAAATAAAGCCTGCGACATTAAAGATCAAACGACAAACTCAAGACATTAAAATTCAAAAAATAAATTGAAACACATACGAAATTTGCATAATGCTCAATAATTCTCAACACCAAACTGCGCCTTAAAGAAAACACCTTTGACACTTTCTTCATTATTTTTTTCCACTTCACATTTTACACAAGTCATGAATACCATGAATATAAATCTACATTTTCTCTATGTATTATTCTTTTCATCAGGAATGATGAATTCCAGCTCTATAAAAAAAAGAAACACTCGAGATTCATCTCATGACAAATACGTAACATAAGAAGCTATTTACATATATTTAAGCGGCTTGATAAATGCATAAGAGAGTGTGAGTGTGTTAGGTCACAGTATAAATTACCCAAAAAATAGAGATATATCTAAAGGATTGGAATGAAAATGTGATTGAATGACATACTATTGTGATAACAAATGTTAACATTGAATCCTGTCAATACTTCAACCATTGAAATTTCTCTCACATTCTCATTCATTCAGCTTTGTTCCATCGACGATAATCCTCTTCTTCTATTTCATGGGATATACATAGAATAGACATTTACGTAGGACTATGAGATGTGAATGTATGTAAGATAAATGATGATATAATTTTGATGATGAGAGGTAGGATAAGTAGTTTGACATGTGGATTAAATTAACAACTGATAAATGTGTTATACTGAACAATCTCATTTGAAGATGTTTCTTATCAGCTTTTCTCTTGATCATGAAATGAGAAAGTCTTTGTGTTACTACTTGAAAATTAAGGCAGAGGAAAAGTTTTTGTTATTGTAAAATGCTTATGGTACATAATGTTTAAATTTTTTTTAACAAATGACTCAGCTATTAGTGAGAAAAATTTATCACAATATATACTTGGAGCTGACATGATGACTTAATAAAAATAAACTGGGGAGCATTCGTAAATGATGTTTGAAATTGCATCGAAATGTGCTCAAAATTAAAAACTATATCAACAAAAGAGAACTTCTTTCGAGGTCCTTTTATGGCCGTTTAAATCTGATTTCTTAGATATGATATGAAAGGGCATTACAAACTGTAGGTCTCGGTTTGAGCTTTTTGGTTATCCTCACTCTTCAAACTCCCATTAGCTGCGAAACACCCTAGTACAATTGATTGTCAATTAAATTCAATTCAAATCTTTTAAACCATTCCAGTTGATTTTTAGAAATCATCGTCCTATTGGCTTCTAATTTGGTTTGAAGGATGTTTAGTACTTTCAATATAAATCGTTCCATAGAAATTAAATGGATGATATTCAATGAATATATTGTCTAAAATTTTCATTCTCAAAATCAAGGACTCATGAGTGCTTCCAAACATATGCACTAAACTCAATCAAAGACTCAATAACACTAAAAACGAAGTGTGACGATCAGGCGCGTAGGCAGGGGGGGGGGGGGGGGGGGGTATTTGGTGGACAAATCCCTCAACTTTAAAAAGAAATTTCTTTATTTTGCTAGGGTTTTTATGGAAAAATCACAAACCCCCCTAAATTTTTCCATACAAAAAAAAATTGTGTCCGTCCCCCCTTCAAATTCCTGGCTACGCCCCTGGTGACGATTAAGATGACAATTGTTCATGATTTTTTTCTTCTTCTTAGAATATTTAATATCTTTTTTCATTTCCTGTTGGATTATTTTTCACATTCTGTATCTCAACTATTAACATTTCTTTCTTTACGCATGAAAAGCATTTTATGTTCTGTTTCCATCCGATGAATAATCTGCAATCATTTCCATTCTTCTTCATACATGAACGATGTAAAAATATTTTTTTCATATGAATTTTTTTAGGTTTTAATAAATATGAATGTGAAAATGTGAAAAATCCTTCTCTCGAATCATCTTTGGCATTGTAATTCCTACCTCACATCTAATCCTTCTCATAAATACTTTATGAATATGGAAGAATCCAAATTGAAATCTCTCGGGAATTTTAATATTCAAGTTGAGAAATTTGTTTGTTTTCAGTGCATATGAATGATTTGAGGAAATTTTGTAAAGATCAGGATGGGAGTCGTTCATAAATGACTTTCTTCAAAAACCTATATTTTCAGTTCCTCACACAGTACTGTCAATTTTTAAGTGCATTTTTGTATGCTTGTATACAAAAAGGGAGCTTAATAATGCGAAATGTTCGTTCGTTCGTCTGAAGAAAAACTTTTTAACCAGACATCGTAGAGAGCTCAGGTTTGTTTTATTAGCTCCATTACTATTGTTTATTGTCCGATCGAACAGTTAAAAGTCTTGAAACAGTGTATTTATACTATAATTAATGGTTTTTTTATTTCATAAACAAAACCACGTGATGAGTACGTTTAAAAAATTCAACATTACCTTTATAATTTCAAATTTTTTCTAGCCGATGTAAAATTTGAATTTCAAAAAACCTTTAAATGAAAAACTTTTTTTGTATGGAAATTTATTGGAACAAATTATTAATTATACTATAATTAATGTTTTCGTAGTGCAACTTTTAAAGGCAAAATTTCAAATTATTTATTGACCGTTAAATAATAAAGCCATTCTATATAAGTATTCTTTGTAATTATTTATTAATTACACTAAAATTAATGATCTTGTAATCTTCTAACGATCTGTAAATGAATGCAAATAGATAATCAAATACTGATCGCTAATACAAAAATGCGCTTAAGTCCCTCGATCAATAACACGAGGACTTCTGTAATTTTTTTCTTATGCACGGAAGTGTTATACAGAGACTAAAAAAATTGGACATCATTTATAAATGTCCCCACATATCAGAACTTTTTGAATAAGAATTTAATTTCTGGTTGATTTGTCTTGAACATTTGTGGGTTACCAAACCGACATCAAGCATGGTTCAATTTTAAATTCCTCAAAGAAGTAAATGATTAATTTCCATGCAACTATCCCAGTTCAAACATGAAAATTTATCATCCACAAGACATTAATTGTTGCTTGAAAGAAAAATGTTACATGAAACATTTTCCAGTTGTCATAAAACAAGCATAACTTATAGAACACAAATAGGAAGTTAGAAGCAAAAGAACCTTCAAAATCACCTGGCAACCTTCTTTTCCTTAACTTATAAAAGCAAAGGAAAAAATGGAAACTTTATGAGAGGAAGTAATGCCACTTGAGATATTTATTGCGTTTGTACATTTGTGGATTTGCTGAAAATGATGTGAAAAGGTATAAATTCTCATGTCGTTTACTGCTTTCTTACTTTCTTTCCTAGAAAGTATGCAATGTGATAAGGGGGCTGTTATGCTCTTGCGGTATTAAATGTAAGGAATTCTAATAAATTTGTGTGTATAACAAAATGATGATTCATGATTAGGTTTCAAAAAATTAGAAATATTTCAAGTTTTTGACATTTCTCAAACCGCGAATTCCCCTTTAATATTAGCAAAAGCACAGCTTTACTTCCTTCCCTAAAAGTAAATAAATACCGCGAATGTGAGGAAGTATTACTCCAAGAAAAATGTAATAGATAAATACTCAGTATTTCCAAATACAACCATGCAATATAAATTTATAATGCAAAAGCAGAAGGGAAATAATCAAGTGTCATGTTTGCTGTTATGTCTGGCAAATCCTCAAGAAAATCTTCAATTTTCACAAGATTATTGTCGACGACAATACAAATAAAGAAAACAAGAAAAAGAGGGAAAAAAATAAAGCTTGAACAATTTTTATTTCTCAAATGTGTGCTGATGTATGTATTCCGTACCACTTTATCTCTTCTTTCTGTATAAATTCATTCATACATACATGATGCTCTTCATGTTTCTTCATTGCATTGTTCCAATATTATCTTTTATAAGAAAGAAGGAAGTGGAAATATTTTATAATATTTCATGCTTTTCTTTTTTGCTAGCTCATTGCTTTTTTGGAACAAGATGCTTGTTTGCTCTTAAAGTTTGTGTCGTAGTGGGTGCAAGAAAAATTGTTGAAGATTAGCATATTTAAAGAAAATGAAATTTTTCAATGTCTTTGCTATGAAGAAAAATATTTTGAATTATTTGGGGTGTTTAAAGAGGTTGTGAATAACTGTGATATGAAAATTTCAGCTCCAACTCTCAACTATTTCTAGATCTGGATCTAAATCGAATATTACTGCAACCTTTGCAATAATTATTAAAGTTTCATTAGACCTCAAATTTTAAAAATTTCAGCTCCAAAACATAACCATTTCTAGCTCTGGATCTAAATCGAATATTACTGCAACCTTTGCAATAATTAATAAAGTTTCATTAGACCTCAAAATTTGAACATTTCAACTCCCAAACTTAACCATGTCTAGCTCTGGATCTAAATCGAATATTACTGCAACCTTTGCAATAATTATTAAAGTTTCATTAGACCTCAAAATTTGAACATTTCAGCTCCAAAACTTAACCATGTCTAGCTCTGGATCTAAATCGAATATTACTGCAACCTTTGCAATAATTATTAAAGTTTCATTAGAAAACAAAATTTGAACATTTCAGCTCCAGAAATTAACCATTTCTAGCTCTAGATCTAAATCGAATATTACTGCAACCTTTGCAATAATTATTAAAGTTTCATTCGACCTCAAAATTTGAACCTTTCAACTCCCAAACTTGACCATTTCTAGCTCTGGATCTAAATCGAATATTACTCCAACCTTTGCAATAATTATTAAAGTTTCATTAGAAAACAAAATTTGAACATTTCAGCTCCAGAAATTAACCATTTCTAGCTCTAGATCTAAATCGAATATTACTGCAACCTTTGCAATAATTATTAAAGTTTCATTCGACCTCAAAATTTGAACCTTTCAACTCCCAAACTTGACCATTTCTAGCTCTGGATCTAAATCGAATATTACTCCAACCTTTGCAATAATTATTAAAGTTTCATTAGAAAACAAAATTTGAACATTTCAGCTCCAAAACTTAACCATTTCTAGCTCTGGATCTAAATCGAATATTACTGCAACCTTTGCAATAATTATTAAAGTTTCATTCGACCTCAAAATTTGAACCTTTCAACTCCCAAACTTGACCATTTCTAGCTCTGGATCTAAATCGAATATTACTCCAACCTTTGCAATAATTATTAAAGTTTCATTAGACCACAAAATTTGAACATTTCTAAGCGGCTAATGAAAATCATAAGGTTTAAGAGTAATAAGAGTAAACTCAAATATTTCCTAATTGGGTGGAGGGGGTTCAATTTTTTTACAATCATGCAATATGACATTTCATATTAAAAATTATTTTAATATCAGGTCATTAAAACTAGATTTGTCGAATATGCGCAAATATTTGAATCGCAATATGTTTTTTCAAGAAATCCTGATAAATTCACTGTTTTAGCAAAATATATTCTCAGCAGAGACGTATTTTCCCAAGGGATTAAATGAAACTTCCCTCATCTGAGGCATATCACAAATGATAAAGAGAAATTTTAAGCGTGTGAGAAAAAAATTTGAATAAATGATAATAATGTTATTATATCACACATTTTAAAATATCATATTACATCCTCAAAGATAATCGCTGTGGAAAATTGAGAATCATGTTCAGCCGTTCATGATATTGCAGATTTTTTTTCATCTCCTCTTCATTTTTTTCTTGCATGAGATAGGACGCGAAAAAAGGAACACAAAATTTAATAATAAGTGTAAAAATTTTAATGTGTCGAGCTTAAGGTATTTAAGCATACATGTGCTTGTAATTCTTTAAATCTGCCTTTTTAAGGTTGACATTAAGAATGAAATTATAAGGATTCATACGAGCTATGAGAGACATATGCGCTGTTTTTTCAGAACTCTATGATTCAAAATTTTGAACTAGAGCATGGCTTCTCAAACCCAGTTTGCGGCACACGAACAGCAAATTTTGAGGTTAGCTTAAAATAGCTTAAAATAGGAAAAATTGAAGACAATATTGAGAAAAGTCAAAAATTCGAAATCTTTAGCTTCGTCTTTGGCTGATTCCCATGTTTATGAATATACACATTCACCATCTTAAAAAACACAGACTAAAAAGTTTCGTGACATTATTTTATAAACACATATAAACATATCTGCATGCGGTGAATTGAGCTTATCTTCTTCAGCAAAATGTTTTTCCACTCCTTTTTTTCCCTTCCGTAATTATATAAATGTAAAAAAACCCATGCTAAGTAGTAAAAAAGCAGCAATGCACATTATGCAACGTCATCATAAAAGTGATTATCAACGTTGATTACCATGATGTGAATTTAAGTGACATTCTTATGGCTCACAAAAAGCACCCATTAATTTTCAACATTTTACTTTACTTACTGTGCTGCAAATGGCGACATTAATGATGATGATTATGTTGATTGTCTTTAAGTTGTCTTCCTTTTTGCGAGAATTTTCATTTTCTCTTTAAATTATTCATGAGAGGCGGAGGAGCTGTGGTAGCATGTGTGAATAATTTGTAGATTTACGGATCGATAGCTATGAGGTTTCTGGTCATTTTGAGACAAAGCAAAGTGAAACTTACTGAGTGGCGTTAAGTTTTATGAGATTGAACAGAAACTCCATTAAGTAAAAGTACTAATTCAAAAGAATCTCAAAAAACAGACATTTAAGAGAAAAGACTTGATGACTTTATCTCAATGGCTTCTTTGGTAATGTCTCATTTAATTTATGTGGCTTTGTTCTTACAAATGAATTTTTTTTTAAATTCAATAAATTTTTTTTGCTTCATTTTGAGATTTTAAGTTTTTATTTAAAGAATATTTTGATTGTTTAACATAATAATGGTTTTAAAATTCACCTTGACCTTTACTGAACCTGATAAGCTGACAAATATAATTTTATTCATTTAATCGATGCTTTTATTTTATTTATTAAACATTTATAAAGGAAAATCTGCAATATTAAATTCTTTAAAAATAAAATGGTTTAGATTGAAAATTAAAGTAAATTTCATTTTATGGATCTGCCCATATAAGTGACAAACAAACAAATTTACGTATCAAATCGTAATCTCATTTATTTTTGGGAGTGAAGATGTAGAAATGAGAATAATTAAATTGTTTTTTTTGACAAATCTCAATCATTCATCTCAAGTTCAATAAGAGAATCAGTTGATTTTGTAAAGTTACAAAAATCAATTCAAGATGCCTGTCGCCAAAAAAATCTTGGAAAGATATTTAGAGACAGAAGCTTTAACAGTTGGATTGTAAGTTTAATTAAAATAAATAATTATAAAATTTTAACATATTTATATTTCAAGTTTTGGGGCAAGTTTATTTGGAATATGCATCATCAGATTAACTTTTGACCTTGTAGTAACTTTGACGGACTCTTGCAATTATATCGAATCATTTGCTCAAGAACATTTCATGGAAAGATGCATTCCTACTCAGTGTAAGTTATTCTTAAATTTTTCACAGTAAATTATTTGAAATATTAAAACTTTTTTGCAGTTCTTCTTTTTATGCTTACGATTTGCGTTATCAATTTTTCTGCTTATGCTCTATTCATTAGAGGTATTGCTAAGGTAAGTTACAAAACAACCTATAGATTGAAATTGTAAAAGATTAAAAAAAATATTCTAATTTATTTTTCCAGAGATTCCACAGAATCATGATTCCACTGATCACTGTTTCAAGTCTTCAAACATTATTGACAGGATTATGCCTCATCTATGCAATTGTAATTAAGTCATGGGATTTCGCTGTTGGTTTCTCAGTTGCATTTCCATTATCGCTTGGATTCCTTGTTATCAGTTACTTTATGTATAAGAAGATTTTATTAGAAAATTCATAAATGCATGCCAATTTTTTTTGAAAAATAAACAAATTTCTTAATTGAGTGTGTGATCAGGCAATGCTATTCTTTTTGTTGTCTATTAATGTTTTCATGCAGGAAAGATACGAGAATGCTGTTGAAACAACCTGTGATGTAGCAAAAATAATTAAATTACAAAAAGATGTATTTAAACTTAAATTGACTTACATTTTCAGGTAAGCTTACTTACAAGGTTCAGATGTCAAATGAATTTTTCTTAGGTTATATTTAAGAATTTTAATTTTATCTTGATGTATCCAAATATTAAAACTTTTCAAGCCATACATTATCACGATGCCTAACATAATTATGCAATCAAAAACTTCAAATATTTGATAGATATTTTGACTAATGCATATAAGAAAAAGAACGATTGCAATTAAAAAATTCAAAATTATAAATGCAAAATAGAATTTTTGGAATATTTCGACAGTTTTGTGCCTTGATATTTTATTTGATGATTGATCCGATTTCACATTGACTCCACAGTATCCAAAAAAATTATCAGAAGTTTCAAAAATCTTATCAAATTCCATGATTTTACAATTCAATTTAAATCTTTTCCTTAACCACAGTTATGTATTTCTTGTTGTATTCTCCAATTCAAACTAAAATTTGTTTCCTTTTTTTTTTTAAAAAAAAGCCAATCCTTTATTTGAAGAGCAAATATCAGCCCAATCAATATTTTATGAAACAATAAATTATGCAATACGCTAATATAGCTTCCTTGTAGCCATCTGCTGAAGTATATAATTTTATATCTAAATGAATTTGTAACACCAGCTTGTAGCTAATAATGAGCATAGTTTAAGAACTTGTAGGAGACTTCCTAAATTATTTCAACTATATGCTGTTTTGGTCAATAAGCGACTTCAAGCAGGACAGGAGAGAAAATGCTTTTGAAACCACCTGCAAGAAAATTATGAGTTTATTAAGAATTAAAATTCATATAAATTATTGACAATTTAAAAATAATTGTGGTGATTTATTTATAAATTCAGTCAATTCCTTCATAATCTGAAGATTTGAGATCATTTAATAATAAATTAATTTTAAATAAAGATAGCTGCAAAAGCTTACATTTTTAAATGTCTCAAGATTTATGTCAGCAAATTTCGCAGCTGTCAATTTTATCGGTTTTTGAGCTCGCATTAACGAAAAATGTATAGCCATCCTAATATTTGGATTCTTAAGTTCATTCCAATTACTTTTCATTAGGTTTTCAGCAACAGATTTGCTTGCAGTTTCAAGCTTTTGACAGTAATAGCACAAAAAGAACATTTGGTTTGCCATTATTACAAGAAATATTAGAAACACTAAATTACGTATTAGTTGATGCTGATTTGTGAAAATTTCAAGAATTGTAAAGCAAATTAAAATCATACTGCCGATAAAAGTCGCAAAATTTGAAAACGAAAAACTGGATTCGAGTTCTTTTGCGATTTCAATTAAATTTTGATACTTTTGAATAATTGGTTTCAAATCTCCAATTCCTTTTGTATAATCAAAACTTCTCAGTGAATCTCCAATTAACTGAAACTCAGATGCTAATATCATCACAAATCCATGAAGAAGTCCACTTGTGCATATTTCATACAAGCAACAATAAAATGAAATAACCATTTGCCATATCATGGTACTGATAAATGGAACTATTGTTTGGTAATTAAATGGAATATAAATCTTGTAAACTAAAACACGTTCAGGACTGTCTGATGTCAAGTTTGTGAAAATGGCATTCAATGAAAATCCAAAATTTGCAATTGTCAGCAGCCTAGTCGAAATTTTCTCAGAAATCAAATAAATTCTTGAATCATTTGTCAAATATATTGAGGATTGACTTGTCAAATGTGCTTTTCGGAGCCTTGACTTAAGATTTCTAATTATATCCTGATTCGCCCAAACGCTAATGCTTTTAATAGCATACAATATTATGATACCCGATAGCATAACACATTCAAAATCATCTGATAAATGATTGATATTTAAGGCAATGAAAACAAATAAAAATGCTATAGAAATCAAATAATTTACAATTATAAAACAGAAATATATATTTTTGAGTAAAGTTATTGTAAAGTCCTTAAATCCTTTAGCTGGTTTTTGATAAGAATAATTCACATTTATTCCAGAAAATGCAAAAAGTTTATCAGAAGTCACAAAAATTTTATCGAATTCCATTCTTTTTAAAGCTGAATTTTGATTTATAATGTTTTTAAATAATTTTATCAGAGACCAGTGTTCTATCACATTCGTTTAAATACACTGACTCAATTTTCAAGTCGCTTCAATTTTCAGAATCGATTTTTATTTTTTCACACCATTTAATGTAACTAAACATTAAATTCGATGTCATTCAAAACTACCCTATGCCATTCTATCATTATTTTAATCATCTAAAAGACATTACGAAACAAAATTATAGATAAATTAAACAGCTTAACTTTTCGAAAGCATTAAAGAGTGAGTCAATAAGGCTACATATGAAATAAAGTTGAAAACATTATCTGTAAATGCGAGCACTTGCTCAAAAGAACATGAAGAGAGAACTAATCGATTGAACTTTCAATGAACTTGAAACTTTTTCTTTTCCTTTCTTTGCTCACTGACGTTGAAATCTCCATGGAACTTTTTATCTTATCATCTAGAATTTTCTGAAGTTTGGTGAATTGTAGACATGATAATCAGTTTGGACAGGTTGTCGATATGTGTAGGCATATACAAAATTAATGTGAAGCTACTAAATTACAATAAATTTTGCTTTAAAAAATATCTAAAAATGCGTTTTAGTCTTTGAATAATTTTCTAATTGAACTTTTTGTCACTTACTTCTTTATTTTTTCCTTAAACTTTTCTTCCTCTTCGAAGCATTGAAATGTGTGTCTGTAACCATAAACCGTTTCAAATCCTTTTCCAAAGTTTCTACTTTGCTATCATTTCTTTTCATTTGTACAATTGCTATTTCTAAATGTCGAAGGGTACGATATTTTAACGCATTGCTGAGCATCGACACAGGCAAACAAAAAAAGAGAAACATAGAAACACACACGAAAATTTATTTATTCACTTACATGAGCAAAAAATTCAATTTAACAACTGAGTTATTTTTAAAATAGATTAAGTACATCATAAACTGATTTTCTTGTCCGATGTCGTTCCATCTCCTTCCGTTTTCTATGCTTCATTCAAGTAACCATCCAATGCCTCAAAGCTTGTCTCATCTGTTACAAATGTCGTCATGATAAATGAATTCCTAACTTTAGCAAGAGATAGGAAGAGAGTCGGAGTAAAAGGTTCCAGTTGCTTGATGTCTTGAAGCGTTCCTTGATTCACTAACTAAATTTTCTAATGGATGAATACTCTCGCTTTAGGTCTCTCTTCAAAAAACATTGTTTATTGGTATCTGAAGCATTTTTTAAACAAATTTGTTCGACTGACCTATTAAAAGTTAAGGCTTGTGTTAAAGAAACTTGAGGAAATTAAAATATGAAGGAGATATTTAAAGAAGAATGAGATAACATAAAAGTAATGCATCAATCAGACGTCAAAAAATGAAAATCTCCAATTCAAAAATGCGCTCAATTCACCAACATTTCCTCTTTAGTAGTCAATTATTACCAGCGTATTTTCTCCATCATCACTTTAAATTTATATTATATGTACACATTTATATCCAAGCATCAAAAAAAAAAAGTTGTATACATGTGATGGAAATATCTTTAATGTTGTCTGAAATGGTTAAGCGATGGTTTGAAAGATGGCAATTTTTCATTGAAGTTCCATCTATTTTTTTTCTCTCTTCTTTCCCCTCCATCATGATAACGAAAGCATAAATTTCTTTCTTCCTTTTTTTGCCACATTCATTATGGTGATTTACTTTCGATGTGATATAATAAATGATGGTATCAGATTCTGCTTTTATTTACTTCTTCACATACGCTCTTTACTTGTGATGACAATCCTTTTGTGAAGCTCACTATGCATGCTAGTCTTTATGAAGCACATATTTTAATGAGACTGTATACATTTACTAGCTTGTGATATGGTTGAATATCAAAGGATACTCGTTTCTTGAGAAGTTTATGAGTCTTTGTTAAATTTTCTTGTGTAAGCTTTTTATAACCCTAAAGCACTTTATAATTTTTAATCATTTCCCTTTACCAACAATCCACAAACGAGAATTATATAACCAAAAATAATTGTGTTCATGTGGTTAATGTATGTTTGATTTGCTGTCAAAAATTATAAAGCAATAGCAATGTGAAATTTGTGTATCATGATAATGATCTATTGTGAAATAAGCGACAATTTTTCTTATCCTAACCATTATGTGTGCCTACACACATCCGTCTACACAAAACATATGTCAAATTGTGCGTTGTGATGATTTATTGTTTACTTAACACAAGCAAATTTATATAAAAACTTATTTTGTGCTTAAGTTTTATGTTTCTTCTTATTGGTCTACATTTTTGAGATGAGGGTAAGAAAAGGTATGAGAAGTTATTAAGCAAATTATGTCGGTATCAATAACAAGCTTTTAATATTGTTACAAATAGATGACCTTGTTTTTTGAGAGAGAGATATTCGTTTGAAGAGATATGATAGGATCAAGGGTAGTTTATAATGATATGGATACAAAAATTGTTTTCTTATTATTATATGATCTTGTTTTAAACACTCAACCTAGTTCCTGTTCAAGGAAAGTCTTTGAATATCGTTCTCTTTTAAATAAGATTTTAATCAGAGGGGGGGGGGGGGGGGTTGAGATTTTTTTAAAACAAATATAGATTTGAATTCTTATAAACTAATACAACTTCTGAAACTCTAATATGTACAATCCCGAATGGTAAAAGTCGGTTAATCGAATAAATATTCGGCGCCCAGCCGGTATGACTCTGGTATGGTGCAGCTTCGATTTAAAACCTTGTGCCATTCGGGAATGTAATACAATCCTAATCATCAAAGACAACATGTGCGTCTCCCTTGCAGCAATAATCAATCTCTATTTTCTTCTCTATGCTTGAAAAGATTTCCATAAATCAGAAATCAAAATGATAAGAAAACTTCCATCATAGACAAAAAAAAGGTTAAAGATATCAGCAAAGGTAAGTTACATTTTTCAAGGATTATAGACGGGTGGAAAAATAGAAGAAAATCTTCTCGCAACTTATTGTGATGAATGTCAACTGCATAGATGTAGAATAATTGATGTATATTTCTCGCCTACCCTCTGGTTATTTTAACTTGTATCAATTCACATCTCAACCGGAAAAAAAGCTTTCTCATTGACATAAAAATAAAGAATAATATTTTGATGACAATGACAAATATAGAAACTGGATGCACAACTTTTCTAACCTTAATTGAATCAATTCAGTTCATATATTTATGTGTAGAAAAATAATTTCCCACACCTATACTCAGTGTATGAACCACATACTGTGATATGTGTTTTATCAACATTCCAAATCTCTCTTACTTGTACTTCTGTTTGATATAAAAGAGAATGTGAAACTTAATGAACCGCAGAATGAATTTAGTCAATTTTTTTTTCATCACTGAAAATTAATTTCATTCACATATCTTAGCATTAGATTGACGGGTTGTGGTTTGATGAATATTTTTCTCGATGGGGTAGAAAAATTTATTTTTAAAGCTTTTCGTGGAAAAATTAATGTGATGTGAAAGTTAGAGCTGATTTGTGTGACAGACAATGATTGAAAAGTGGTTGCATTATTCAGGATGAAAAATATTTAAGGTGATTACATTTTTTAGGAATAGAACTTTTATTTTTTAGATGTCGGTTTGCCTGTTTTTTGCTGTCACCACAATTATGATGCACTGTTTCGATCCAGCTTAAAATTGCAAAAAATTGATAGTTAAGCATCCTCACGTTTTGTTACATTTTTTTTGTTTGATTTCTCACAAAATCTTTGAACTCCTTTTTATAAAAGCAGCTTCTTTTTCAAATTTCAACTCTATTGTTAAAATAATTGGTCAAAAACTCAAAATACGTGATCAAAGGAATTCTCATGAAATTCATAAACATCAAAACTAGCTCTGTCCAGACAATACTTTTTCAAAAGCAAAAAAAATCGAATATAATTAAGCATTGCATGCAGTGTGGCTAAATTCCTCAATTCAAATGAAATCCAACCTGCACAGTCAATTCAACGTCTGTTTTTGTGTTAGATTATGAATGAGATGGAAGGGATTAATGTTTAATACTCAAACATGTGCTATCATCAGCATATCGTATGTATGTTTACAATGTTCCAGAAAAAATAAAAGTTTTTTCAACTCTTCACACGTCCAACAATGTCTGATATGTGAAAAAAATGTAAAAGAACCAATTTATTCAGCAATATAGTAAAGTCATGAGCAGTTTGTCTTTTGTGGTTATTTTAATTCATCAAATGTTGAACCGAATAAGAAAATGAACCTTCAATCGTTCAAACCAAAACATTCAAACTCGTAGCTTCTGTTTAAAAAGAGAAATTGAAACTCGGACAAAGCTCTTCTTTACTCTCCTCACTTCATTCCATTTACTATTTACCAACAAATAACAATTCACCCCCAATACTATTGTGGGTGAATAAGAGATGAAAAGAATTACTGAAATGTTTGATGCTCAGTGACATGCTACACACTTCTTTCCTGTTTATTGTCAAAGAATATGAAATACTGAAAACTATTGTATGATGGAAAATTTTCATACAATAGACCCAAATTTTTCATTTGACTCTTATGTAGCTTGCATTGTTATATTTAATGGAATGAGGAGGTTGGAATTCAGTTGGCTTTTGGTAGGAATTAGTATGATAGACCATAGACTAGTTTCAAAAGTTTTTTAAAAGAAATTTATGTATTCGAAATGAAAACCTTTTATACCAAAGATTTCCGGTGCTAATGATTCTGATTAAATTGCTTTAGATGTATGAGCAGACTTTGATCAAAAATTTGGCAAGCTAAAGTTTTCATATGCAGATGCATTCATCAACAAAAATGTTAAATAGGAATGTTACAGAAGCGGAGGGAAAGGGAAAACTTTGTGGTCGAAACTTTCGATATATTCTGGCTCGTCCCTGGATTTTGTGCTTAAATGAATTGAAGATTCCGAATATTTATAAATCAAATTCAACTCATGTATGTCCTATTTTAATACTTGTACTTTCTCATCCCTTTATCCTCTCATATTCATGTTGCCCCAACATTCATATCATTTATCGATCAAAGAACATTCTCTAAATTTAGAAAACAAAATTATCTGTCAATCACTCAAAATAGTGCATCATATAAGAAATATTTTAAAGCAGGAAGCACATTTCGTTCATAATACATAACAATGTAATGCACACATAACCTGTAAATTGAGAGGTATGTTTATCGATTAACAAACTTGATAATTTAATTGAAATTCATCTACCAATCTTTAGAGGTAAACCACAGAGTGATTGAATGTGTACAAATATAGATTTTTTTCATTTGCACGTAAACTTCATAAATTATTTTGTAGTTATGAACTGAAAACATAGTTTCGGGTGAAAATTTTAATTGAGTATGTTCGTGTTTTATCTTTCCTACATAAAATTGTGATAAATATATTTTCAGTATAGATTTTGAGCTAGATCAGAAAGTTTGAAAATATTTATAGGTGAATCATGTTAAATAACAATAAACTGTTGACCTCTTAAGATGAAGTCATGAAAATCTGCTTCACATCAAGTTTTAAAAAACTGTAATAAGTTCTATGCTCTCATCAAATCCATCCTCAAAAAATTGAAAATTGTAAAGCTAGGATATTCTCCATTTGTATGTTTGTGTGAAAAAAACATGATTGTGTGTATGAGAAAAATATTAAGTATTATTATCATCATCATCATGCATAGTCGTGCATAATATGAAAGGCTATCATTTTCCAATTACAGAAACTAGCCAAGAAACATGCTCCAACAATTACACACGTACATAACGAGTAGAACAGCTGACATCCAATTACTGCTCATCGGAATGATAGACATATCGTCCGATAGATAGACAGAAGGTAAATCATATGAAGCGTAAAGTCGATAATCGATTTTAGTCAGCAATTTAATTATCGTCTATACAGAATGAGATCTATATGAGGATGTTTGCATGTTTTTCATTCCAAATTGTTATCCCAAGTGCGGAAGATTAAATCGATAAAAATGTGTGTTACAAGGTAAAAATATGGAGGCAATAATCATAAAAATTGATTCACAAAGGAGTAAAAAAATTTATGATTTTGAAATCCTTGCAAGAACTTTATCTGAATTTTCTTGATTTTTATTGGCTTTTTTGATGCCTTTTTGGTGTTTTTAAGTTAAACTGGTACAAAATCCAGGCCCCCTCCTGATAAGTGAACCTAAAAAGTGAACAACTCCTCTGTAAAGTTGAAATTTGCATTTTTAACTGAACTTTCGATAAATAGACAAAAAGTTTTCGCACAAATAATTGAAATTCTACTCCTGTCCATCAATCTGTATGTATATAAATTTTCACGTTATTGATTGGCTGATGCTTGTTGCATACATAATAAACGCGTAATCATAAAAATAGGAAGAATGGGGTTAGCTTGTGGTAAGTACTACCAATAGTATCACATGGACGTGAGAAGGAAATTAAAAAGGATGAAGAAAAGAATAAATTTAACACTTTTTGATTTGATTTGTATTTAAACAGAGAAAGAAAGAGGAAGAGAAACATACACACGCATGCAAGTATCCTTATGATGTAAGACTTTCTTCCTCTACATCATTCGCACGTGATTCTTTTTAAAAGAATAAAATTCATTCATTTCGATATGTTTTGTTAAAATGAGAGAAATATAAGAAAGAAATGAAATTTACGCTGCTGAGTAAGAGTGCGAGTTTTTGATTTAATAGACAGCATTGCGTACAAATTTCTTCTTTTTCCTGTTTTTATTTTTAGCGCAACTTTTATGGGTTGTGAGCTAATTTAATGGGACATGAATCAGTCAGGGTGTGGAGGGGGGCATTCGATTTAAATTATTTGCAAGAGTTTTTTTAGAAAAATTCAACCTTGTCCCTTAAACCGATCTTAGCTGCACCCCTGCGTCTTTTTGAGAAAAGTTTGCGTAGAGTTTTCTGGTAAATTTTTAATGACTCAATTGCCAATTGAAAAAGCTGTTAAAAGAAATTTGTGAAAATTGCTAATGGTTCTTAAAGTTGTTTAAAGAATATTACTCCAATGTATGGACATCACAGTGGTATAATAGATTTTATCATCGATTTGGACCACGGTGCCTCCAGTTTGTTCCATCGTATAGGAACACATCGCCAGACTGGATCCCTTTTACATTATTTTATTATTATGGACATCACAAAATTCAGAATCAATAAAATTTAACAAAAAATCACATGCCCAAAAAGTAGAAGCTTTTATTTAAGATAATCTTAATTCTACCCTCAAAATAATCTTCAATTTCCCAACATTTTCTCAACTTGACTTGACTTGCCATGAAGACATACCTTAATTAAAACTTACCAAAATACTTCTGACAAAATTGCCAAATTTTTTTCGTTAAAGCCTCTCGAAATCTCGAGACCTTTTTCACTTAGCATCATAAACCAAAAGTGAGTAATTCTCATCTTCTTATTTCACGAATTAAGTCTTCTCAACCCATTTTATGGTCGATAAGGGAAAGAGATGACGATAAATACTTAAACGGATTTCCGTACTTATTCTCAAGTAAAAGAAAAGATCATTTTGACTGATTATGAATTCAAGAATTAACCTTCGTATTGTTGGAGAAAAGCTCAATCGCATCGTTGAAGGAAATGTGAAGAACACTTACTCGCAACATTATACAGTAACATGGCGATAGTAATGTGATTTATTATCCTAAATCTGAAACTTTCTTTCACTCCTCTTGTTCTTCTTTCTCACCTCTCGACAAAAACACACACACGCAGAAAGTAGTAACATGTAAAAACATCTCACATTCACACACAGGAAGTTACGTGAAGTCGGTAACCTGAAATAGATTTATTTATTTCAAAACAAAACAAAACAAAAAATCAAAAGCCTTTTTCTATATAATGGGCACGTTGAAAATTCATCTGCTCTCTTTTCTACACTCATTCGTTTCTCGGTGCTCTTTACCGTTATAATAAAACAAAAACGTGACGAAAAAAAAGGCAAAATTGGAAAAGTTTTATTTTTTTTTTGTTTTGTATTTTTAGCGTGTTTTGAATATGGACGGTGTGTGGTTTAATACATTTTGAGGAGCTTTTAAGCTTTGATAATTTTATGTTGCTGTGTTGTAATTTTATATAAGAAGAAAATTCTATGACCTTAGTTTCCTTAGTAAATATAAGCTGACCATATGCTTAGGGTTTGAGAAGACTGTTCTCTGTTGTCTTCATTGAGCAATTTTGGCAATTGTCAAATCAAATTGGAAAAGTCCTTCTTTTCTGAAAAATACCTGAGGTCGGTTTCTAGAAGAACCTAGAAGAAAATAGGAGAGTGCCCCCTCCTTGGAATCAATAATTTATATATTATATTTTGCAGTATTCATAATGTTCAAATGTGGCTAGGGTTGAATACCAAGGGTCAGCTTTAAATTCAAATATATATGATCTGATGGCAAGAGATCACGTGGGCGACCAAAGAACTCGTGGGAGGAAGCTGTTGATAGTGACAGCATTACGCTTGATATTTTAAATTGACAGACGGTAGCCAGCGATAGAGCTAGTTATAGTCATCAACTAAGGGAGGCACTATGGGGCAAAATTGAAAAAAGAGGGACTTTCACATTGATTTTGGGACTTTTTCGAATTACATTCTCAAGTGAATTTTTTCTTGTAGAGGACATAAAACCTGACTTCTATGCCAAATTTCAAGTCATTTGGTGCTGTTCCTGCAATTTTATGGCTGTTTGAAGTCGGAAAATAGCAAAAAAACAGATTTTTTCAGTCCAACTTTGAAGTCAAAACTCTTTGCAACGGTTAATTAAAATAAAAAACGGTTTTCAGTTTCTAGTAGTCCTATATAAGAACTATATTTGGTGAAGTACATAATTTTTTTCGATAAAATTTTTGTACTCATATGCTAGTAAATGTATGAAAATCCTATGAAAAATATCTTCAAACACGCCGCAACTATCTTAGATGACGACTACTTAAGGAGTAAAACCATATCATCATAAAGTCCTTGACTTCTGGTTTACAAAACTGTATGAACTTTAAAATTTTATTGGTACACTTTTGAGATAAATTGATTTTAATAAGCCGTTGAATATTTGATCAAAATCAAAAATATCTCATAAAAATTACAAAACAATAATTACAAATATTTTTTTTAATGTTTTCTAATAGAAAATAACATTTAAAAACAGCATGCAAAGAATTTTTTTCAAAAAGTATAAAATATGTCGATATATTGGGTACATTTGATATCTGACGACTTGTATGGTTTTCCCACCACTTAAAACGCTCCAGCTTTAACAAAACAAAATATTTTTAAAATCTGTTTTCAGTTTGTTATAGTTTAAATCAAGATCTTTAAAACGATATAAAATACTTGATGGTTGGGTATGATCTTAGTCATGATTATGTGCCTTGTTTGTGAGCGACCCCAAACTGAAAAAAATATCAAAACATCATTTGTAGAAATATGACTTAGATAGAAATTTAAGTATTGATTTGTACTTTTTTATGATGATTTTTGATAGTTATGACTATTAAAACTCAAAAATTAGCATTTCATAAACTTTTTGCTATCTCAGGTAGCTTTTAAGGTACGACCCTAGTAGTCTCTATTGGCTCTGAAAATCTAAAAGATTAGATTATGTTTCAGAATTTTATTGATTGATATTTCATATTGGAACATATTTAAGTCAAAATACATTACTTTTAGGAAGTTTTGATTGGTAAATTCTTGATTTTGGCTATTTTATTGAATTTCAGCTTGCGTCGGTCACATTCAAACCACTCCAGGAGCAACTTTAATGAACTTTTGATGAATTGATATACATCATTACAAAGGTATTGACATCAGCTAGCAATAAAAGTAAACAGGATGCAAAAATATTGATTCTGAAAAAAGTTATAGTCATTTGAGTGGATCGAAATGCATACAGAACCTCAACCAGCATAGGCAAAAATACAAAAGTTGTAAATTTCTTACTTATTTTGAACACAAAGGATTAAAAGAAGTTTTAAATGATATTCTTATCACAAAATAGTTAAAACTTGGCAAAATAAGTAAGAAATTTTCAGTTTTTGTAGTTTTGCCTATGCTGGTTGCGGTTTTGTGTACTTTTTGATCTACTCAAATGACTAGAACTTTTTTCAGAATCAATATTTTTGCTTCCTGTTTACTTTTATTGCTAGCTGATGTCAACACCTTTGTAATGATGCATATCAATTCATCAAAAGTTCATTAAAGTTGCTCCTGGAGTGGTTTGAATGTGACCGACGCAAGCTGAAATTCAATGAAATAGGCAAAACCAAGAATTTACCCATCAAATCTATCTAAAAGTAATGTATTTTGATTCAAATATGTTCTAAAATGAAATACAAATCAATAAAACTCTGAAAAATAATCTGATCATTTAGATTTTCAGAGCCAATAGAGACTACTAGGGTCGTACCTTAAAAGCTACCTGAGATAGCAAAAAGTTTATGAAATGCTAATTTTTGAGTTTTAATAATCATAACTATCAAAAATCATCATAAAAAAGTACAAATCAATACTTAAATTTCTATCTAAGTCATATTTCTACAAATGACGTTTTGATATTTTTTTCAGTTTTGGGTCGCTCACAAACAAGGCACATAATCATGACTAAGATCATACCCAACCATCAAGTATTTTATATCGTTTTAAAGATCTTGATTTAAACTATAACAAACTGAAAACAGATTTTAAAAATATTTTGTTTTGTTAAAGCTGGAGCGTTTTAAGTGGTGGGAAAACCATACAAGTCGTCAGATATCAAATGTACCCAATATATCGACATATTTTATACTTTTTGAAAAAAATTCTTTGCATGCTGTTTTTAAATGTTATTTTCTATTAGAAAACATTAAAAAAAATATATGTAATTATTGTTTTGTAATTTTTATGAGATATTTTTGATTTTGATCAAATATTCAACGGCTTATTAAAATCAATTTATCTCAAAAGTGTACCAATAAAATTTTAAAGTTCATACAGTTTTGTAAACCAGAAGTCAAGGACTTTATGATGATATGGTTTTACTCCTTAAGTAGTCGTCATCTAAGATAGTTGCGGCGTGTTTGAAGATATTTTTCATAGGATTTTCATACATTTACTAGCATATGAGTACAAAAATTTTATCGAAAAAAATTATGTACTTCACCAAATATAGTTCTTATATAGGACTACTAGAAACTGAAAACCGTTTTTTATTTTAATTAACCGTTGCAAAGAGTTTTGACTTCAAAGTTGGACTGAAAAAATCTGTTTTTTTTGCTATTTTCCGACTTCAAACAGCCATAAAATTGCAGGAACAGCACCAAATGACTTGAAATTTGGCATAGAAGTCAGGTTTTATGTCCTCTACAAGAAAAAATTCACTTGAGAATGTAATTCGAAAAAGTCCCAAAATCAATGTGAAAGTCCCTCTTTTTTCAATTTTGCCCCATAGTGGGAGGTCATGGATTACAATTGATCTGCACGACCAGCGAAATAAAGTAAGAATATGATGTGAATTTGTATTAGGTCAACTTATCTTTAAAGGTACATTAAGTCACCAACAACCCTCCGTTGACTTTATCTTATACCCTATTGTGAATATTATGTTGATTAATTGATTTTAATGCTTCTAATGCCTGAAAACAAAATAATGCGCATCATTCATCACAAGAATCACTTTTTATATCCACTTAACCTTGTCTGTTTTTTTCATTTGTGTATTTTGACTTTTCACAGGCACTTCTGCAACAAAAAAAAAGATTCTGTGATTTTCCGATAAAATTTGTTTTGCCAACAATTTTCTATTTTTTTTTTGACATGTTATGAAACTAAATAGCTTTTGATTGCTATGCATCGCTAATGCAAAAATATTTTTTTTATCATTAAAATAAATTAATGCACAGCTATGCATAAAAAAACTGCAAACATTATTTTGTGTTTCAGATGACATTTCAATGGGGGAAACAAGATGAAAATTATTTTTGTACGTTTATATTTCAGACAAAAACAAAAAAAAATATTCCTCTCTCACATATGGATTGGATTCTCTCACTGGAAAATGAAAATTTTCATCCCCACTAGATTGACTGGAATGATGCCGGCACTGGAAAATTGGAAACACGTGTGCGTAAGAAAATAATATTGACATGGGGATTGAAGATTTTTGATTTGAGGTTGACAGATAATAATTTTTTTAAGCTTCAAAAATTCACTTGAATGACACTAAGTTCCCGATGGATAGACATTTATTAATGTATTTTTGGGTTGATTTTTAAGGATTAACTTTCATTGACATTTGCAAATTTTTTAAATTGGTTAAATTTGTATCTATGGATATATAAAATTTAGATATGTTGATCAATAAAACAATTCAAGATATTAAGCTACATACTTCATCAGCTTTCTTAATGAAAAAACTTACATTTAAATTATAACTTGAATTGCTTACTTTACCAAAGAAGTTATACACCATGCTAGCAACAGGAAATCTTCATCCACAAAATCGTTTACTATAACATTCTAGTCGAATAAGCGCGCATATACACATTTATCTAAACACACACAGAAAATAGAGAGAAAGTTGAAAATACGAGCATTTAAATTCTAGCGGTTTCACTAATTAATCTTCTGTGATAGCATAAAACTTTTCTCATTGTCTCATTGTGGCTTTCACACTGACAGTGAACAATTCTTTGGTGGAATTTTTACTCGAGCTATTGCAATGTCATGCAATTTTCCACGACAAATTGTGTTCATATGACTGAGATTTTTCTTTTCGTTTTATTTCTCCTATCTTTTATACGAATGTGTGGTTTTGGGAGTAAATCTAAATGAATTAAAACCACACTTAGGGGACATTGAGAAAGAATTTCAAAATACTTTTTTATGGTAAGAATTTTTATCTTTAGCATTTGACTTTTTTTTTGAATTTTTTTTAACTTATTCGGAACTTATCAGTTTTAATCTGTTCCACAAAACTTATTATAGATTTGCAAAAAGCTAGGATTTTAAAGTTCCTTAAATTTTGACATTTTGTTGCCAATCTTCTTAATATAATGCATGTTTTGTGCACATTGTAGATGTCAGACGCATAGTCAAAGAAGGAAAGTAGGCAGATAAAAAAAATCATAAAGTGGCAAAATATTTTTTAAAATTGTTCCTTCAATTTCGATGTTTTTCTAATTAATCTTAACTGGGCATGAATAATTTTACTATAAAAATTTTATTGAAAAGTATGGAGACTGTCCGGTGCTTACTTGAAGGAGGTCGGCTCTCACCCCTTCAAATTATTTCCATTTAAAATTTTACAGGTTCTTTAAAATACATTCTAGCTACGCCTCTTAGAGATGCATGAAAATAAAAGTCATCAAAAACTTTTCAAAAGTGAGAAGTACCTTTGCCAATTTTTTAATTAAACTTTTAAAGGCTCTAAAGACATTTTGACTTTTTTTATTACTTTAAAAATTTCTTGTACGTCAACTTAATCTAGATTATTTTAAAAAAAAAATTCATTTTATTTTTCCGGAGAAAAATAATTCCCAAAGTGACATTAAAGAAAACTTTATTCCTGTTAAACTTACCCTAAGTTGTGCATTCAAAATGCCATCGGCTGATCCAAAAAAAGAGAATTTTGTGTTTCACCATTGTGTGTCATTTAAAGAGAGAGAAAGAGAGCAGGAAAAAAAATTACCTAATGCAATTTTAATCTTCACATCTCCATTCCTTCTTTCACTTTCCGCAATATAGCGCTAGACAATTGAGTGCACTTTTGAGTGTGAAATAAGCTTTTAAGTGGCAACATAAAACTTGATAAAATACGATTTTTTTTCGTCTCATATATGAACTTTTTCTGTCACTCGCTCAATGGAACTGCGACAAACAGAATCAGACGAAAAAAAATTCCATTACGAGGAAGAAGAAATGTTGAAAAGAGCATTGACAGAACCAATTGGTTGTCGATGATTGGAATATGCTTTTTGCGCTGCTTTTAATTTGTTCTTGTGTTCTGTTTGCTCTATCATTCAGCACATCTCTATCGAGTCACAATTTGTGAAGTGATTTGATCTTTTTTTCTCGTTTTGCATTTTTTGACTCGAATTAATTTTGAATTGCGATTGCGAGTGGGTCAAAAGTGATCGATTTCTGTCACTAATTGCTCTCTGCAATTTATGGTTTTTCACTTTTTTTTGGATGTAGAGAATTCAATGATTTATGTGAGGCATTTTAAGGACTGGAATTTTATTTAGAATAACGTTTCATCTTAAAATTGTAATTTGCTAATTACATTGATAAATTCAATCAAATATTTTTGTGTGTGAGTAAAACAGAATTCGAGTACAAGTTTATGATTAGCAGCAGAATGGATGGTTGCTTTTATTTTTGTAAGGACGTGGTTTGATTTTCACAAGTGGCTGCTCACTAGTTTATACCATAAAAGCCCGTTTACTTATTAAGTAATATAACTATCTGGAGTTGCAGACTTCTTACCCATCATAAATACAAACCATTTCCGAAATCTTAAATTTTTTTAGATTCTAGAACAACCTTTAATTTTGATGTAACTTATATAGATTTTCCACGATCAGAATGTTGACTTTATTATTGGAAACTTTCACTCCCATGCATCCCATTGTAATAAAAATTCATTTCCACCGCTGTCTCTAATAAATCAAATTTTGTATGCAATAATTCAACAATGTTATGAGGAAGTGAGATAGAAAAACTGTGAAAAAAAAATCTCGATGAATTGAAAAATTGCAATATTAAAATACATTGAATTGCATGGCACATTCATCGCTTATATCCCTGTAAGCTATTTGTAAAATTCAACTGATGAAAAACAGATTACTGCAATTTTTCACATAAAATTCATCCCCGGAACCTGATTTTTTTTTGCTCTTATTGTTTCCTTTCCATGAGCAGTCTGTGATACGATGCATGTGAAACTGTAAACAAATGTTATGATATTTTTATAAATTGTAATTGAACGTGATGCAATTTTTAGTCATAGAATATTTGTAAACTTTTTAACTCATGTTATCGTGAAAGCATGGAGCAATACGAAAGTTATAATGAAAGCTTGTCTAGATTGGATTCAGAATGCTTCTGAGTTTTACGTTTTTATGATTAAATGTTAAGGTTGTTCAACACGTGCAAAAATTAAAATATTGATTTTTATTCCTTGCAAATCACTAATCTTAAATGAAATTCTTTAGTTCAGTCAAGTTCCAGTAATGTAAAAACTGTCAAAATTGCGAATTCTCGCAAGAGTTAATCGATTAACAGACTAACTTAGCATTAACATACAAAAACTGTTTTAAACTTTAAAAAGGAAAAAGGAAGGTCGAAAAAACTTTTCTTTTCACGAAAAAACAGAAATTACCATAAATCTACATTTCTCACTTAATGCCGTTAAGGTTTCTTATGCTCAAATCACAGCCGAAAACGATAACAAGTAAAGAAGGAAACTAAAAATTTTTGCAGTTGAAAGAAAGAAAACTTTTTCTGTATTTTATTTTCATTGCAATGAATTTTGTAGAAATAGTTTTCACTTTTAAGTTTCTACTTTTTCTTATTCATTTAAGTCTTCTCGCTTCAGGGCGCGAAATTTTTTCTGCATTCTAAAGAACTTTATTATTTTAATGTAGGATTTAAGATATTTAAAAAGTTTCAAAACTTTTCTTAAAAAGGAATTTTTTGTGTGAGAATATTTTTAACTTAATAATTCTTTTTTTAATTTTTCGTTTTTAATTTCAAAATAAGAAACTCCGTTACTTTTTATTATTTTTTAAACTATCTGTTTTTAAAAGCATAAACATTTAAGGAATGCAATTTCATCACAGTGATTATCTTAATCATAAAAACTAGGAATGTTCACTAAAATTACAAATTACTCGAATAATAATAATTCACAACGAATTTTTTTAAACATAAGAACTTCGAAGATTCGATTTTCGAAAAATAAGAACCTCAAAAATTCGAAGTTCGAATAATAATAACTCAAAAATTTCTGTTTGCTAGAATTTACTTTGAACGAGAATAATATTCAAATAGCATCATGATTAGTGCAAAATGCATATTAGTTTAAGATTTGCTGACCTTTTTGATTCAAACGTACATTTCAAGATCAAATCAAGTTTTTATTTATTTCCTACAAATAGAAATAAATACTTAATCAATTTTACATTATTTATAAATATTGATTTAATTCAAATTAATATTTTTTAATAATTTTAAATTTCATCTAAACTATAAATATTTCTATTGGAAAATCCATTAAATGTCGAGGATACTGAAGTTGAGTAAGCTCCCATATTACTGAATACAAGCCAGTCATTTATTTCAAGTTCAGGAATTTCCACGTCAGCCCATATTTTATCTATTGAAGTGCACGTGCAGCCCCACATTGTAGACAAAATCATCTTTGTATTATCAGGAAATCCCAACTTTCTGATAACCGAGAAATTATTAATATTTTGCTTATCTCTAAAATAGCGTAGAGAGAGAAAAATACTCTCATTTAAGTAGTAAAACATTTGTTCATTTTCAGATTGTTTCTTTAGAATAACTTGTACTGCTAGTGAGAAAGCAGTGTCTACAAAATATCTTCCTGGTTCAGCGATAATTTCAATCTCATTTGAAGGAAAATTTTTCTCGAGTGCTGAATTTATTGAATTTGCAAAGCACTCAAAAAGCTTCATATCATTTCCAGAAAATCCACCTCCAATGTCAACAAAGTTGAGCTTCATGTCCAAAGTTTTAGCAAAATCAAACAATTTACGAACCATTTCTAGAGCTTTTTGAAATACTTCATGATCAGTTGTTCCTGAACCAACATGAAAAGCAATTCCGATAAGATTCATTTTCATGTTTTTACACAATTGAATTAATTTTGGTGCTTCAGTAACTGGATTACAACCAAATTTTGGTCCTAAATTAAATATTGCATTTGAAGCGTCAAATCTGATTCTCAAAACAACTTTAGCATTTGGATGATATTCTTTGACCTTCATTAATTCTGCTGGACAATCAAAAGTCATCTTCTCAATTCTCATTTCTGCTGCCAATTTTAAATGTGACACTTGCTTTACTGTATTTGCATAAATTATTTTCTGTGTCTCAACATTTAGTTTTAAAATTTTTGTGAACTCGTTCATCGATGCACAATCAAAACCTGCACCTAAGTTCTTTAATAGCTTTAACACTCGCTCATCATCATTGCACTTAACAGCATAAAAAGGAACAACTCTCGGAATTTTCTTTCTCCAAACTTCAAATTTGTTCTTCACATCTTCTAGATTTAAAATAAAGAATGGATCATCATTTCCATTTGAAAAATTTTGATCTATAATATTCTTTGCTGCTTTAACTATATCCATACTCAATGAAAACTTAAGAAATACTGAATTAAATCTTTACGATTGCAAATGTTTTGCATGATTGCAATAATTTTGTAAACAGATTCGATTTATCAGGATTAATCAAGAGATGTTTTTTTTATGAATATTTAGAAATATTGAGAGGTAAGAAAAGTTAAACAGAATTTAATAGAATTTCATTTAACTTAATTATTGATATTAACAATTTAGAAATAATATCTTCATGTAAAAATAACAACAATGGCAGAACAAGTTCTGATTAGAATGTCATCAGTGAGATTTGAAATGCTTCATTTATCTCAAATAATGCAACTTGCAAGTGTGTGCATAATTAAAGAACAGATTTTTAAAATAATACGAGTTTGCAAAACAAATGGTTCTCAAAACTTTCTCAAAAAGTTCTTTTTATTCCTGGAATTTTTTTGTTTTAAACTAGATGGCGCGATTATCTAAAGGCATTAAAACTTTGTTATATTAAGGCTGTGTTTCTCAAACTATTTAAATTCACGGCAAATTTTTGCACATAAAAATTTTACTGCGCATAGTTTAAGAACCACTGTTTTAAAGGATTAATTTATATAATTTCTACCAATTCATACTTTCAACTTTAAATGATGAATTTTTAAAATTGTCGTAACGGATATGCACACCATATAATTTAAGGAAATCCATGTGAATCCAATTAATTTTAAATTGAAAGATTAAACTATACTAATGATCAATTTTCAAATTAGATGGTTTACAAATGCTCATAAATCCTTAATTTACTTTGAATTGTAAAAAAGTATCAATTTTAAGTTCATGATCTATTACAGGAAGAGATAACTAATATATGCTTTTAAGTTGGATGGTTTAAATTGATGAATTAAGAAATAGGAAACAAAGTGTTTCAAGGAAAACTATTTTATAGTAAGAATGTAACTTACGTCCTTGACTACATGAGTTTAATCATTCGACAATTGATATATGTAATAAGATGGATTAACAAGTCATGAATTTTCATTTTCAGTTTTACTTTAAATTTCGTTTGAATAGCTTCAGAAAAATGCAAACCTTTGATCTTCAGTTAAAGTTATATGAATTTTGTGGTATTGTGCAGCATCCCAGCTTGAAAATGAAAATCTTTATCATGATTTTTGTGGCATGGATGTACTTTGTCTGCTTATTTCACATGTTATCTTCCGTTCTTTATGTAATTACATCGGATAATGTTTTAAATATTGCAGAAAGCTTATCACCAGTATCTTCAGGAATTCATGCAATTGTTAAACTTGGAATAATTCTTTTGTATCAGAATCAATTTTTCGACATAATTGATGAAATTAGAGAATTAAATAGAAAATGTATGGCAATTAAGTTTGAATTTCATTTAAAAAAACATTCTAAAATTTAAAAATTTTTCTTTACAATATTTAAGGGAGTAAAAAGCTTTCTCATCGTGAAAAAATACAAAGAAATAACAAAGTGACAAGACTCATCACGATAATCTATTCCACTGGTTGTATCATGGCTGGAATAAACTACGTTGTAAAACCGTTTATTATAATAATTGTTAACTACATTTTCATTAATGGTCAGCTACAATTAGAATTGCCATTTAAGGCAAAAAACTTTTATGACGACATTAATATTCCCGGATACTTATTAACTTATTTTGTGCAAATTTGTTTTACGTATTTTGTGGTCACTGTTACGGTAAGTTCTAATGATGTAGAACTGATCAATATGCAAGAATGCAACACCCATAAAAATATTTATTTTATTTAAAGTTCTCCAGTGGATCAACTTTCTGTTGTTACTCTCTAAATCTTGCTGCCCATTTTGATATTCTTGGAGAAATCGTCGATAAAGCGGAACTAAAGGACTTTGTAGTTTACCATCGTCAAATTATAAATTTAACTCAAAAACTTAGTGAACAGTACAAACCAATCATTTTTATAGAATTTGTTTGTGGAGCATTTATCTTGTGTGTCACAGGATTTCAGGTAATCATCGCCGATAGTTTCGATCAAGTTTTAGCTGCTTTGCTTCATGCAGTTGCTGCTTTGTTGGATGTGGCTGTTTATGCATATGGTGGACAAAAAGTTCTAAATGCAGGAAAGACATTATCCAATGAAGCTTATAAAATCGACAAACAATTTTTGTTAATCATAATGATGACACAAAAGGAACAGAAATTTGATACTGGATTTTTTGATGCATCTTTTGATACTTTTTCAATTCTCTTAAGTCGAACAATGTCATTTATTACTTTGCTTAAATCTTTTGTTTGAATTTAAATTTTAAAAAACTTACTGCTTTTAAAATTAATGTCATATTTTAGGAAAAAAATAGTTGCCTCACTAGAAGATAAACATTAGCTAGATATTCAAGAATAATAAAAAAATAAGAAAGGGCCGATCGACTTAAATTTCGGCTTAAAATTGGCTAATTTGAAATTCTGAGCTCACAATAGCTACATGCTGACAAAATATTACACAGAATCATAGTAAAACATGTAAAGTTAAATTTAAATACTTGAAATAAGTGTTATATGGCTTTTTTCTATCAAAAAAATCAAAAATTGAGTTAAGCCGAAAAAATCGGCTTCGATCTCTGGTAAAAACACCAAAAATTTCATACTTAAATTAAAAATAATACTCTCATCAAGTAAACCTCAAATGATTTTTTTTAAAAGATCATAAGAAAAGCTTTTTAAAGAAATAATAAGCTTCAATAAAGAAAGAAAGTTTGAAAATTCTACAACAGATGGCTAGTTGCTTCAGGATATTATTTTTTCATATTCACCATCTTATAAATTAGCTTTTAAATTTAAGAAGGAAATCTAGATGTCTCTAGCATCTTTATCACATTTTCTTCTCTAAGTTAAGGTTCAGGATTTTAAAACAACAATAACTAGCTTGTACACTTTAGAATATTTTAATCACTTTTTTGAGAATAATTAAATTCAGAAACTTCTGAGATTCAATGGACAAAGGCAGGGGCGTAGCTAGAAATTTGAAGGTATGAGGGGTTGAAATTACCTGGTCAAGGGGAGGAAGTAGGTTTAAATATTGCAAATTAAAACCAATTAAAAAACTTACAATAAATATTTTAAAGTTAATTAAAATGTCTAAAAAATTGGAGAAAGTATTAAGCACTGATTCAATATGAAAGTTTTCAAAAGCAGAATTAATTTCATTCCATAAACGAATGTGCACAAATGTAATTAACATATCCTTAAAGTTTAATTTATTCTCTGATTAGAAATTCAAATTAAGATTAAAGTATAAATGAAAATGCTTCTTGGCATGAAAATATTTCATCCATTTATAAATAGAGTTTAATAAAATATGAGCATATTATTTAATTTATTCACATAAACGTGCAGCACTTTCCATGAAATATGAAATATGCAAAAGAAAAAGGAGAAATTTTCCGAGAAGAAACGAAGAAATTTTAATAAAAAGAAAAGGATTTGTAAGAAGAAGTTGTAAGCAATTTGCTTTAAATGAGGTTGAAAATATCTCAAATTTTTAAGATTATTTGCAAAAAATTATAGGATTATACACCAAAACTAAAAGCGGAATCATATAATGATTAGGAAAATAATATAGCAAAAAAAATCCAATCGATAAAATCTTTTGTTTCTCCACCGAATTTCATAACTCATCAAAAATTGATCCGGATTTTATGAGGTTCAGAGACACTGAAATGGTATGTATAGAAATAGAGAAAATCGCACCAGATACAACCATAAAATGCTCTTTTTCATATTTTATAAATAAAAGAGTTTTTGTTGTTGTCCTTTTTTTTGTTCATCCGACAATGTCCTTTTTGTATTTCATGATTAAAGCCTTTTGCTGGCTCATTGGTTTCTGGTTTTCTTTTCTGCACTTTTTTTGTTTCGCAAAAAGTTTTGTCTTCCGATAAAAAGCTTTATCTCTAAGGATCAAAAAACAACAACAATGCAAAAACAGATTTCATCTATTTTCTATTCTTTGTAAGCTTGTTTAGTCATCAGAAAAAAAAAATAAAGATTTAAATATCTACATATGTTGTGCTAACCCCAGTGACCAAAATCTAGTATATAGCGAATCCACAGTTAGCTACGAATTCTCTATATACTAGTTTAAAACTATCTTTTATGTCTAGACACAGAGTTGCGACGTCCGCCCCTAGTAGACAGTCTACAGCAACTAGTCTACAGACTGTCTTTAAGCTGTCTTTTAACTAGCTACATTTTAATTATTCAACCAGCTTTTTATTAACTTTTTGAACCGTGCATCTAGCTATCTAATAGTTACTGTCTTCTAACAATACATAAATAGCTATCTTCTTACAATATACAAATACCAATCTTTTAACACTATACATATAGCTTTTTAATCTCATACTTTAAATTCACATTAATTGTAAAACTGAAAATAAAAAAAAAGATTGAAAAATTCTTCAAAATTTAGGTGTTTTTGATATTTCTTTTGTTTCTCTTTTATTTATGTTATTTCTTTAATTCGTTTAAATCTATAATTCGTTCGAATTCCACGAATTTCAATTGTTGTTATTTTATTGTATATATATATATATTGTTTTAAGGAAATTTCCACAGATTGAGTCAGTGTGATAGTCGTACATACAAAAGATATTTTTTTGCATTTTAACTTTGTGACAGAATCCGGGGGAATAAGGGGGGTGAGAAGTATGTCAGCAAATCCAAATTTTTGTGCTGAATGTTAATATGATAATCACCATTTTTGAATTGTAGTCGTCTTTTTGTAACTGTTCCGACAGCAGTTCCAGTTCTTCTTTCGAGTTGACTTTTTTAGTCAGCATATTGTTGCTTAAATCCAGATTTCCACTCACAATATCTTGACAGCTAGCTTAAGTTCATCAAGAGATTGAATGATAATCTACAGAAATAAAATTATTGAATTAAAACCTTATTATTTATGTAGCAAAATTTGATAAAATATTACCTTCAATGCGACTTCTTCCACTAATACGTAACGTGGTGAATCAGC